GTGTGTGTGTGTGTGTGTGTGTGTGTGTGTGTGTGTGTGTGTGTGTGGGTGTGTGTGTGTGTGTGTGTGTGACCGACTTCTTGTTTTTGGTGGAGTAATAAGGAAACTCATAGTCAGGGCTTTTGTAAGGAGCTTATTGTCAACCACACACTCCTAATGGGCCAATCCATTTCGAGAAGAATAGCAGGAAATAGAAAGTGGTTGTGTAAGTTGGTCAAGGCCTGCTGCCTTATTCAAAATCTAGTTTCAAACAATGTGGTAACCTTCTGTGGTTCCATTTATTGTTATCCTCCACACCCCTCAAGTGGCTCACTTACACATTGACATAGTTATTCATTTAGCTTACAACTAGAAGTAGAGAATATGAGGAAACCCAAGTCTTGTGCTATTTATAATGACACAGGCACACATTCACACACAATATAATAATAATGATAATACACCTATTAGTATTTTAATAGAACTCTTCATATATATATATATGAAAGACTAAAAGTCAGGATATCTTAGTCTCTTCTTTTTAAAATCTGTCTCTCACAAGACCCAAGCAAAGTCAAAGTTTGAATGCAGGACTAGTATTCTGACATTGTTACTTGTACTTCATAAAAGATTAAATAACTGGATATATAATCCACCACTGCCAGCATATAACAGCTGAAAGTACTTTGTATACCATATATAAACTATTGGTGAAAGACCTAAGGCAGCATGTGGGTAGACTTGTTGTCTCCATATAAAGTTGCAAAACAATAAGCACCATAATCACTTTGAAAGGCCACAGTGACCAAGATACCACTTTTACTATTCATGTGCTTTAGCTGAAACTCTTCCTGCATTGAGTGGTAACTGCAGGCTATCTGTGGATCTTTAGCTGAAGACTAGAGAAAACCAAAGCACGAGGTAGAGCACCATCTGATTTCTGTTTCAGAGTCAGTGATGCTGCAGTCTGCATTTTAAAGTTGAATTCACTGATTTCCAAGTGCAGGTTCAGTATTATCAGACGTATAAATATTAGTATTATTTCTGGTTATTTTCGTTATTTTTAAATAATAAGAATTTCAGAACATACCACCTCCTCACTCTCCTGTCATGCCTGCATTTGTTTATTTACTCATTGCATGGATCCAAAACTCAACATTTGATCTTGAGTTTGACTGCTGACTTTGCGTTTTAAATCTGCAGTGGTGAATAAAGGCTTCTTCGTGGTGGTTTTTCACATTTTACAGTCCTGTATGAGTCAAATGTACACACAGGGAGCAGCTGAAGTTCGTTTTGTTGGCTTCAAAGTCCGGCGAATCACAAGGTTTCTTTTTCCTGTTGCTCCCTCTTTTTCTGCTGACCGTAGCAGGTGCCCTGAAATCCATGATACACACACACACACACACACACACACACACACACACACACACACACA